ACCACATTGTGATGGGTTTATGTTGACCTCTAACAAAATAATTTAACAGCCCATATAAATACAAATTGATTGGCACATTCTGCAGGTTTTGAGGAGTCTGTAGTGGACAGAGGATGGTTCCTGATGGTTACACCTCCAGATCTCGTGAGTATCAGCTTTCAAGATCCAACCTGCAATTGTTAGCGTGGACTGTGTAAAAGACTACTTGTTGAAGTAAAAAGGGCCTCACAGTCGGCTGCAGGAAAATGGGACTGCATTAACAAAATGAGTCAGCAACCTCTTCCTCAGGAAACTCCACCACAAACATCTGCTCTGATTAGATAACTGAAAGAGCAAGCCAGCCAACACAGGGATTCAGAATAACGAAACTGAATTAAGAGATTCCCCTCAGAGTCTCTCAAAGTGTCTGTTCCGTGTTAGACACAATGAGGATTGGAATTTCAGATTCTCCAGCATCTGCAGTTCCTACTACCTCTGTCACTGAAGCTGTTGTTTCTCAAACAGCAACGGGCTACTTTGGCTCCTGGCCTACATTCAAGGAACATACAGACTGGTTGGCACCGTCTCATTTGAAAAAACGGCAGGGACTAGTAATCCAATCTAGGAACATCCACATGTAGGATTCATAACTGATCAAACAGGAAAGTTATTTTGTTCTTGTTAAAGCATTTCAACAACATGAACATTCGGATTTACTGTACAAATAATGGCTACCTAAGATTTTGTACCTTTGTACCCAAGATGGCACCGGGAATGCTGACTGTACACTTTTCACCGTACTCCTGTAACACTGTACTTGAGTACATGTGACAATAAAACCTAATTCTAATTCTAATTATACTTTCCATGAACATGTTCCAGTGAAAACTACAGTTTGGCCTCTTCCCAGAAGAGGCATATTACAGAAGCACAAGACCAGTGATATGACGATCATATGAGTTTTACAAAGACAGCTGTGTTGATCAATAAACCCACCTCTGTAATATCTTTATATTGGCATAATCAACAAGGCTGTAATATTCTTCATGTGCACAATTACAGTACTAACTTTGGCTCGGAAAGTCATTAAATAGTCAGGAGGTATGGGAGAAGGGTATGTTATAAAGCCACTCCTCACTCAGTTCAATTCAGTCATGAATATTGCAGCAACAAACACAGGATTAGAGAGCTCATTCACATCCAGCTTTTGTCTGCAGCAGAACCATCCTTCATTCTAGTTTCTATGGGCACAGAAATTTTCCACATGACAATGAGAACTATCTTATAAAAATATCATGAATTGGTGATAGCTGTTGAGGAAATGAACCTTCATTCAGTGAGGAACAGAAAGTTGATCATGTTATTCACTGTCACACTGCCATTGGGTTTTTCCAAATAAAAATACTTCAACAAACACAGATGATTTTCTTTGGAGCTGCTTTCATATTTCCCAGAAGATAATGCTAGAACTGATCAATGAGATATTCTGGACCAACCCAAGTAGTAACATTTCAAAACGAAGATCAATATGCTAAGCACGTTCATTCCCTACTATTCCTGATTTTGCCCCTCTGGCTGTTTATTTCAGGTTGAATTCGAATCATACTCTGCAACCATATCTGTAATTTAGGGCTCGAACGCTGGCCCTGTAACATGACATCATTTACGATTCAAAATTTACAACAGCAGAGGTCTATTTGATATGGAGATGGTACGCTCCATCTGTTGCTTACAAGTTTCACACCTTCAGCTAATTTGGTCTTTCTAATGTAGGGACTAAACAGCAAATGCTGCAGTATTTGGCAATATTGATCTGCCAATCTTGGGGGCAGCTGGTGGCTCAGTAGTTAGCACTGCTGCCTCACAGTGCCAGGGACCAGAGTTCAATTCTACCCTTGGGCAACTGTCTGTGTGAAATTTGCACACTCTTGCCGTGTCTGCATAGGTTTCCTTCCACAATCCAAAGATGTGTAGGTTAGGTTGACTGGCCATGGTGAATTGCCCATAGTGTTCAGGGATGGATTAGCCATGAGAAATGCAGGGTTACAGGGATAGGGTAGGGGGCTGGGTATGGTTCGGCTGCTTTGCAGAGGGTAGGTATGGACTTGATGGGCTGAATGGCCTGCTTCCACACTGTAGGGATTCTATGATGTTCTGATCACTATCACACTGATGCTTGTGGAACACTGCTGCGCACAAACTGCTTGCCATGTTTCCTATGCAAAAAGAAGTGATTATAAAAGGTAATTTAATGCAATGGAAGGGGCTCATTTCCAAAGAGAAAAGCACACAGAAACAAAACCAACATGATTTGATCTGATCGGCATAAACTAACTCTCTAACCAAGCATGGACCACAGCTGTAAGGAATTGAAGTTTAAAATAAACAAGATCGGGATAGAAATGTATTGTTAAATCATATAGGTTACTATCTATCTCGAACACATGGCTACAACTTTCTAAAGAGAGAGTTGGGACAGTGAGTAAAGTCTGGAGTAGAAGACTGCAGTTTAGACTAGCTCAGAAAAGTCACTGTTACCTAAAACCAATTTTGAAAATGGCCACTTCCCAGGGTAGAACCACAGACAACTTGCAGGGAAAGGGAGGAACAGAACCAAGCAAGGTTAGCATTCTTCCTCAAAGATTTGTGAACAAAATTCTGCGGTGAGATCCATTTTCTGTAGCTTTCACGAGCAGAGTTTCACCTGGAACACACCTAAGAAGCTGCAGCTGAATCCATCCAAATATGCCCAACTTCACTTCATTGGATTCAGGGAGACACTGAAGATGTCTGAAATAAATTAAGTTCTCTGGACTCGGAATGGCAGTGCTGAAAGAGCAGCAGGAGTCCCTGCCCATTTGGAATAGAAACAATAACTGTCCATTAAATTTAATCTGAAACAGCGGCGATGGTAAAATTGCATAGTCTGTAACACTAAGAGATCCTGGCTGAGCACGAGATGGTGGGATGATTATGAGTAGTTCTGCTCACCAAATGGTTTCCTACAGATGCTAGGCCACCTCACCAGCAACATGGCTGAACAACATGACTGGAAAGGAAAGGAGACCAGCCTCTCCAATCAGCCAACTCTCAAATCAAGAAAAGATCTTTCACACGTTTGCACTAAAAGAATATACTGCAAACACAGGAAACATCTCTGTCCACTAGCAATGAGCATGGGTTTCAGTACATCAGTCATTTTAATTCTGCACCCTGATCTCCACATCGTCCACTTCCTAACGTTGTTCCAATGAAGCTGGAGCTCCATCTCAATGGGCATTCTACAGCTTTCAAAACTTAACGCAGAGTTCAACAATTTTCTATAATGTCAAACCACAGGTGTTACCGACAATTCTGCTATTTCCCACTTATACTTCTGAGACCCATCATTATTAGTCCCATTACCATCTCCTTTTGCCTTGCACCATCATTTTATCACACCCGCAAACCAGGGGAGGACTTTTACAGCTCATGGTAGGGCCCTGGAGTGTCTTGTTGAACAAAGAGACCTAGGGGCACAGGTGCATGGTTCCTTGAAAGTGGAGTCACAGGTAGACAGGGTGGTGAAAAAGGCATTTGGCACGCTTGCCTTCATTGGTCATTACACTGAGTATAGGAGGTGAGACATCATGTTACGGCTGTGCAGGACATTGCTGAGGTCACTTTTAGAATACTGTGCATAATTCTGGTTGCCCTTCCCTAAGAAAGATGTTGTTAAACTTGAGAGGATGCAGAAAAGACTTACAAGGACGTTGCCAGTATTGGAGGATTTGAGTTATAGTGAGAGGCTGAATAGGCTACAGCTTTTTTTGCCTGGAGCGTCAAAGGCTGAGGGGAGACCTTATAGAGGTTTATAAAATCACAAGGGGCATGGAAAGGGTGAATAGCCAAGGTCTTTCTCCTCAGGTGGAGGAGTCCAAAACTAGGGGGCATAGGTTTAAGGTGAGAGGGGAAAGATTCAAAGAGATGTAAGGGGCAACATTTTCATGCAGAGGGTGTGTGTGTATGGAACGAGCTGCCAGAGATGGGTGGAAGAGATAGGTACAATTCCAATATTTAAAAAGGCATATGGATGAGTACATGAATAGGAAGGGTTTAGAGGGATAGAAACCAAATGATGACAAATGAAACTAGGTCAGATTGGGATGTCTGGTTGGCATGGATGAGTTGGACCGAAGGGTCTGTTTCCGTAGCATACAACTCTGTGACTCTGCCTTGTGCCAGGTCGTAAACCCTCACCCTGCCTGCCTGCCTGCCTCTGTACGTGTCTAAAGTGGTTACATCTCTAACAGTTTCCAATTTTGACCAAAGGTCGTTGATCAGAAAGGGTCACTTTGTTTCTCCCTGATGAGGTGGTGCATGACTTTTAACGTACCTAATGTTGTCAATCCAGCAGTCAATGACCAGGGGTAGGAGCAGCTCCAAGTTCAACCACAGGGTGAAGTAATCCTCTGTTTTCTTGGTGCACATGTAGTGCACCACACGAGGTTTGTTCAGCTTCGCTTCCAGCTGGTTCCCCAGGTCACCTGGAACTGTCAATTCCAAAACAAATACAAAATTACAACGAGGAATCAAATCAGCAAACACATCTGCAACACACACAAAATGGGGAAAAAAAAAAATCACAGCTCCTGACTGTGGGAGGCAGTAATATCACTGGCAATCCACAATCCCAGGCTAATATTCTGAGGACGCGAGTTCAAATTCCGCTATAGCGGACGGGGAGATTGGAATTCAATTTTTTTTAAAAAAAGTCTGGAACAAAGATTGATGGCAATTACATGCTGTCAATTATTATAAAAACTCATCCGGTTCATTAATGCCCTCCAGGGAAAGAAATCAGCCAATTCTTACCTGGTCAGGCCTATACGTGACTCCAGACCCACAACAATGTGGTTATCTCTGTACTGCCCTCTGAGAAAATAGGGAAGGGCAATAAATGCTGGTCCAGCCAGTGGCGGCCATATCCTGAGTCTGTGTGTGCGCGTTTACCTGTTTGCCTTTGTGTGCGCGCGTGCACGTTTACCTGTCTGTCTGCCTCCGTGTGCGTGCGCGTGGACGCAAATGCACCCGTGTGTGTAGGCGTGCATCTGTGTGTGTGTGTATATGTCTGTGTGGCTCTATGGTCAAGACCCATCACTCCAAAGACAAGGTCACTGAAGGGCTGACAGTACAAACTGGTTTGTGGTATTTGAATTCCATTGTTAAGTACAGTCGGTTCTGCTATAACCCATGTTCCGATAACATGAATTGGCTATAACGCGACTGACGAATAGGAGAATGCTATTCCTAAAATGTGACTATGACGTGAATCCACTGGCGCACGGAGGAGTACGCATTGACATCTCACGATCATTTTGTGGGTTATGTCCCGAACACGCACAACGTTAGCGCCGAAAGATTCTCCGCACCGGCATCACGTGATTGTTTAGCAAACTTTGTCGTGAAGCACTTTCTGTGAGAGGTACAGGACTCCGTGATTTTCGGGGATTTTTGTTTGCAAGTTCTGTCGTGTTACCCACAAAAATGCCAGGACAAAAAGTGACAAGAATATTAGTAAGAAGCATCCTGGTGATAAAATTGCAGGTGGTGAACATAAAAGTAAGGCTGTAACACTGGAAGAGAAGCTAGATGTTGTAAAGTGTTTTGAGCATAATGAGAGAACATGTGATATAGTTCGCGTAACAGGAATAAAGGAGTATACCTTACGCACCATTAGATTAAAGCAAGCTGTATTGCTGGAACAAGTCGGAGTGCTAGCAAATCTGGGAGGTCACAAACCAAGGAACTTGAGGAGATGGAGCGGCTAAGTGTGTGCATAGAAGATCAAATGAAAATGTGATCTGGGACCACCTTTCTCACCAGAAAAGAGAAAGCCTTATCAATTTATGAAGATCTATCAAAAAAAAGCTGAAAATCCTGCAGATGTGCCTGCCTTTAGAACCATAGAATCCCTACAGTGTGGAAACAGGCCCTTCAGCCCAACAAGTCCACAGCGACCCTCACAGCATCCCACCCAGACCCATCCCCCTATAACCCACCTAATCTACACATCCCTGGACACTCTGGGCAATTTAGCATGGCCAATCCATCTAGTCTGTAAATCTTTGGACTGTGGGAGGAAACTGGAGCACCTGGAGGAAACCCACGCAAACATAGGCTCTTTGGCCCAAAAAGTCTACACCAACAAGACCCTCAGAACATGCCACCCAGTCACATCCCCCTAATCTACACATCCTTGAACACTGCAGGCAATTTAGCATGGCCAGTCCACCTAACCTGCACATCTTTGGTCTGTGGGAGGAAACCGGAGCACCCAGAGGAAACCCACACAGACACAAGGACAACGTGCAAACTCCACACAGACAGTCACCTGAGGGTGGAATCGAACCCAGGTCCCTGGTGCTGTGAGGCTGCAGTGCTAACCACTGAGCCACTGTGCCAGCCTTTCGTTTATGTTCACCACCTGCAATTTCAGTGCTAGCAGTGGCTGGTTTGCTGGTTTTAAGAACCACTATGCTCTTCATAATGTAAAGTTATGTGGTGAAGCTGCCAGAGGAGACAAGGGGAATGAGATGGCATTGCCTCCCAAAGTTAAGAGAGATTAATTGATGAAGAAGGCTACAACTTAGATCAAGTTTTCAATTTGAATGAGACAGGTTTATACTGGAAGTGAATGCTATCAAGAACCTACATTTCTAAGAATGAAGCACACACTCCAGGCTTTAAGGTGGCAAAGGATCGTATGACTATGTTGCTGGGTGCCAATGCTAGTGGAGAATTAAAGCTTAAGCCCACAGTGGTGTACAACTCTGATAACCCGCGAGCCTTGAAAGGCTACCTTAAATCTATGCTAGGCGTCTAGTTTAGGTCAAGCAAAAAGAGGTTGGACAATGGGGCAAATTTTTTCTGACCTTATTGTTAATGATTTGGAAGATGTTTTTAGAAAGTATTGCAGGAAAATAAAATTGGATTTCAAAATTCTACTCATCCTGGATAATGCACCAAACTCTCCTCCCATCATTAGTGAGCTTTCTGAATACATCAAAGTGCTATTTCTACCCTCAAACACAACCTCTTTCCTTCAACCCATGGACCAGGGTCCAATAGCAGCCCTTAAAACTTGTTATTTCAGGCACACATTTCACAACAGAGCAACGTCAAAACCTCCTCCCCATTAATTCATCTTGACATTTTTTTCAAGGCAAGGCATTAAATTTACTTTTATTTCATACTTAGATATGAATTAAACTTTCATCCAAACTGTGCTATCTTTTGTGTTAAGCTTTTAAATGATTTTTGAGCGATTATTTTGGTGGTCTGCCCCTAACCTCGCTTTTACCATTGGCCCTGTTGTTTCTATAGCATGATTTTCTATATTGTGATGTTGTGCAGGAATGCAACTATCGCGTTATAGCAGAACCCCCTGTATTAAGTTTTAAATTAGAAATTAAAAGCTCACATCACTAAGTAATCACAAAACTTTCAGATCTTTGTGAAGCCCAACCTTGTTCATTAGCTCCCCTCCGGAAAGGCAAGCTGCCATTTGTGTTCAATCTGGTCTGTATGTGACTCCAATCCCTACACTGATGTAGCTGAATCTTAATCACCAAGTAGTCAGTTGTGGCAGTGAACAATGGGTGTCAATGATAACCATGTCCCAGAACATATTTAAAAAGCACTCTTGCCTACATTGCTTTATGATATTCATGACAGACAAATGTTAAAGATGTGCACCAGATGCGACATTTATACGTGGATATTAAAAGCAATGTCAGAAAGCATTACAGCATAGCAGTGGTGCCAGCTATGATCCAATGTGTCTATTACAGGGAAATCACGTCAGTAAATAATTGGACATGGAGCACATGAGAATCTTATGAGGAGGTTGGCGTCTACCCATGTGCCAAGGGCTGGCTAGAAGCCAAGGAAACATTTAATTCTCGATTGAGAAAATTAACACATTAATTACTCCGAAGGACAGAGCCTGCATCAATAGTAACACAAAACAAGTCAAAAATAAGGACTTAATACCAGAATGCACATCTCTCACCAATTTAGGAGCTTCACCCTGGTTGGTAAAACACATTATTGTTTGGTAATGCACAAATTCAACCAAAACCCATGGGTAAAGCACTTTCTAGGAGGAGATTGGTGGACTGTTCGATATTTGCCGACATTTGATGGTGGATTTCCTAATGTATGACCGAGGTGGGGGGAGACAGTACATTTGCTATGTCAAGTTCAGTGACATGGAGCAGCACTAGATCAAGTGAAGATGGCCATTCACGACGGGTTCAAACTTCATGTGGAATTCCCATGTTGCTCAAAAAATAGCCAAATTGCTGCTGTAATGTAGAAGCAGGTTATAGATTGAGAAAGAGTGGGCTCCCGGTTACTCAGAGGGGAGTGTAAGACTGATCAGGGCTCTGCCTCCTGTATTCCTCTCTGTTATGACTGAAGCTCTTAGGGCCATACCTGGCATAAAGAAAGATGGTTGTGGCTGTTGGAGGTCAATCTACTTGGGAGTTCCTCAGGGTACTGTTCTAGGTGCAACTATCTTCAGCTGCTGCAATGAAGTTCCCTCCATCATAAAGTCAGAAGTGGGGATGTTCACTGATGATTGCATAACGTTCAGCATTATTCGCAACCCCACAGACACCGAAAGAGTCCGTCTCCATATGCAACAAGACCTGGACAATGTCAGGCTTGGTCTGAAAAGTGGCAAATAATATTCATACCACATCTGCCAATTAATGACCATCTCCAACAAGCAAGAATCCAAACACCTCCTCTTAATGTTCCAAGGCATTACCATCACTAAATCCTTTACAACTTCTTGGGGTTACCACCAGCCAGAGAATGAACTGGACCAGCCATATACATATTGTAACAGCTGGAGTCAGAAGCTAGGAATTCCACAATGAGTAACTGCCTCCCCAAAAGCTGTCCACCACCTACAAGGCACAAGCCAGGAATGTGATGGCATATTTCCCCCATTTGTCTGGATGAGCGCAGCTCCAACAACACTCAACGGGATTAACACCATCCAGGACAAAGTGGCTCACATGATGAAATCTCATCTATTATCTCCATGATTTATTCCCTTCATCATAATCACAGCAGTGTGCACTCTGGGTCAATCTACCAAGACACCTTGCAGCATCTCATCAATGCCCCCCTCACTTGGAACTCCACAACCGTTCCTTCATTGTTGTAGATTGAAAGTCCTGGAACTTCCTCCCTCACAGCACTGAGGGTAACCCATAGCCTCCAGGGGTTCAAGAAGGCACGTCACCACCACTTTCTCCAGAATAATTAGGTATGGGCAATAAATGCTGCCCTTGCCGGCAACACACATCTCGTGAACAAACAACAATAAAACGTACTAGGACAATAATCATTTCAACTGACCAAATTGTTTAGGCCACTGACTCTGTCTTTTGAATGCAGCTTTTCAGTACTTCATGTAAGCAGAGGCAATAACATCCAGGACCTACAGAACACATTGCTAGAAGTTGAGGGTTTCAAC